AAGAGAACTGCTGTGTGACATTGACTGTACCTAAAGATAAATGCTAAAGACAAAGATAAGTGAAATAGAACCAGCGTGCATGATGAACGCACAACGTACCTCAGAGAACTGCTGAGGTACGAGCGGATGAGAAAGGAAAGATTATAAGGTAAAATTATGTAAGAGTCCATGCAAACATGAACAAACTAATGATGACGTCGTTGAACCTACAACAGTTCCTGCCCCCAGTGCCATGCTTTCAGAGATAGCATATAGTCACATCCTCTGAGTCCATAATCACACCCTGCCAGTGGTTCAAAGAACCACTTACAAGAAGTTCTTCCTACACATTAGTACTGACAAAAGCTTGTCTCCAACATGAAGCAACTGCATTTTCGAGCCAATGGCAAAAACGATTGTGCATCATGTGCTTCCGGACGGCATCTTGACAGAGTTTGATGATTTATACTCTCTAGGAAAGCACCTCTTTTAGGAGAGTCCCTTGGATAGATTCGCTGAGCCTGTGGCTCGCCAATTTTTAGACTTGTACAGATACACTGCGGCGCGCACACATAGGATTGAATACGAATCTTATCATACATATGCATCCTGCAAATTCTCAACGAAGCATCGCAAAGGCTCACTAGGGTCCCTGTAAATAATCATTGGGTCGTTTTAACAATTAGAATAAGTGACGCTGCTGTTGTTACAAAGATAATAGATCATGACTTAACCGTTCCAGTAGGAGTTCTATCGCCTTCGTCCCCCCACTCCGCTGCCCATAACGACAAGTTTATTTCCCTTCTTCTTCTTGTTCCCTTGTCCGCCTGTGCTTCGCTGCTCAAGTTCGTGCCAAGCTGCGTCTAATTCCCACTCGTCCCCAATCTCTTGACTCGTATTGCGATTGTTTATGTTCGGATGTCTGAGATCTGCGCCTGATGCAGAGTGGGCAGCAGACGCAAAGCTCCTCGAACCCCAAGCACCGCTAATCTGGGGGGTGGGGGACTCATGATTTGCTATCCCCTCAACTTCCACAGCATGAAGAACGGGATCGAGAGGCACGGAAAACACAGACTCCGTCCACGGTGTAATAACCTTCTCTCTTTCACGTTCCTCCGCTCGCGCACGTGCGCGGTCGTCCTTCCTACCTTTCTCCTTCCTCCTTGACCTACGAAGTTTAATCGCCCCTTCAAAATTCTTGAGGCCCTCCTGATCCACAACTCCCTCCAAGTCTGCCTCGATGAAAACGACATCTGCACCCTCTGGTGTATGTGCAAGGTACTTGCACCTCTTGCGCAGGTCGTCGTTGACAGTACCTTCAGTAGCAGATTCTACACAGACTGTAATCGTGTCTGGGAATGAAGCATAGCTGTTGAAGTGCGAGAAGAGGATCTTGATGTCGAGAGGATGTAAATAAATAGGCAGGCCAGAAGCTGCCTGGTAGTAGTAGTAGGTCTGCGTAGACGGGGGAGGAGGGTTAATGTTACGGCGCTGTCTGTGACTACGATTATTAGAAGTACTGGCATGGGCAGTTGGAACGGGTGCTTGTGCTGGTGTCGACTCGGGAGTGGCAGGGATCAACATAGGAGTGTGCGAAGATACGAAAATCCCAGAGCTCGAACCTGTGGCGAGAAATTCTTCTGGTGCCTCGGGGAGTGCAGCTCCTTTCGTCTCCCCAGCAAGCTTTCGCGCCCATTCAAGGCTGTGACGTCGTGTGATGTCGTCGTAATCCTTGCGAGTTCTGTTGATGGCTTCCTTGAGCTGTGGCGATTCTAAAGCAGTTGCTTTGGCAATCTGATGACGAATCTTCTGATCAGCTGCATCAATAAACGAAATACTGAGTTCATCTTGCATGCTGGCCATCATCCGACGTTCTACGGCGAGCACGTCCAAATCGTTGGAGAGATCGGCGATCAGATATTCAGGAGTGGCGAGCATGAACTTGGCATAGTCGTACACATCGGGAAGAAAGTGAAAAGGAGCCTGATGAGGTGGAATTAGGTCCGATGGCCAAGTGTATGAGCGTGGTAATGCAAGGGTTGTCATCTGAGGACGTTGCATCAGTCGCATCCGCATTGTGGATCCAGCTCGAGGAGTCGCATAATGGTCCAAAATCTCTGTGGCACACGAAGAGCCACTAACAAAAGCAGGCTCGTCCTCTTGGAACTGAGGTCCATCATACCACTTGACGCTTTTCAGCTGTTTCTCGTTCAGTGTGTCGAAGCAGACCGGACATCGGGCCCATTTGAGTTTGTCCGACATGCTCAAGTAATGTAAGATGCAAGGAAAACAATACACCTGAGAAATGATCTTCAGTCGTTGGTATGTAGTAAAAGACATTTACTGACATGCCCGCATTTTGTCATTCGTGGAGCAGTCGGAGGGGATAAACAGATAGGACATGTCTTGACCCCCTCCTCCTGTACAGCACGCTCCCCACCGACAGCAGTAGCGGACGCTAAAGCCGAGGACCGTGGAATAATGACCTGCAATATATCATGCCATTGGAAAAAGCTGAGTTCAACAGTGAGGTGTGAGCGGCCCAGGTACATATTGTAAACCTTACATGTCTGGATCTGCGAAGTGGACTGTATAGTCCCCACTTGGATTCATAACAAACCGGTACTGCGCATTCACGAACCCTGTGACACTGTAAGAAGTAGCATGACCAATACAGAAAACGATACTCACTCTCCTTGTTCCACACGGCTGAATGAACACCTTTCTTACTCCTCCTAGGCACAATCTGAGGTCGAATCTGTCTAGGAGGAAGTGTGAAGTTCAAGAGATGGTTCAGGGACTGATTTGAGGCCATCTTCGGTGGTCGCTTCGGGGCTGTCGCCTGTGCTCTCAGCTGCGACGTCATTGAGCAAAACTGGCAGAAACAAACGTCGGTTTGCTGAGTAGAATTGGCGGATCTCGTGGGGTTCTTCCCTACAAGTGGGATAGAGACCACCACGATCAGTGAACTAACTCTGTCAGACCCGTATGACTCCCGAAACTGCTTATCCGAGTCACGTGTCGGTACCGTTGGCAAGCGAGGACTACTAAGCTGTCGCAGACTTGCAATACATCAGAAGTCTACCCGACGCCGCCATGGCAAAAGGAAAAAATCTGAACCCAGCGGATGCATTCAGTGAGTCCCCTCATGTACTACATGCAGGCCTCGTAGTGAATGACACTACCCTCAGGAAAGGCTCAACGAAAGAAAGAACTTAAAAAGGCAAGCATACACCCTTCGATGATCATATCTGGACTCAAAACATTTTGGAATTATTGTCACTGCAGTAGAACAAGGCAGGGAGGTCCAAAGCTCGCGACTTTGCTCTAGTCAAGAAGGATACAGGAGGTTGGTTCACCCTCTCATCTACTATAGCATTCGACTCACTGTTACTTTGTAAGATCTACAAGATGAAATCGAGAAGCTTGAGGGATTGGCAGAGCCCTCCGGCGCAGAGAAATATCGCCTAGCAGAACTCAAGGCAGAGCTAAACAAAATCATGGCTAAGAAAGAGGAATACGTCCAAGAGCATCCGGAACAACGTAAACTTGTCTACCGAGTTCGTAGAGACAAGGATGAAGTCAACAAAGAGGAACCGGTTGCCGAGCAGAAACGAAATGTTTTCAATAAACATGGTTTACCTCGGCATCCTGAACGAAGCATCTACTATGATGCTATCATGAATCCCTATGGAGTACCCCCTCCAGGAATGCCTTACATGGAGAGACGTAAGTCGACCGCAATAATATACGGTGTAAACTAATTCTGAGGTTCTTATTGTAGCTCTGAGGCCTGACGAGACAGCCAGTGATGACGAGGTTGATGGTGGTTAGCAAAATAATTCACTTCATATCGTTCTTTTGCTTAACATCACCTTTTCCATTGTCTAGATGACGACATCGTTATGCCTGAAGGTCCTCCTCCAACTGGCGACAACGATGACATAGTTGATAGCGATGATGACATTCCGATGCCAGAAGGACCTCCACCAAGCACTCTTCAAGGTTTGTCCCTTCCTTTGTTTAATGTACGTCAAATTCTCAAGTTAATCTCATAGAACCACCATTGCCGCCAAATATTCCCTTCAGCGGCGCTCCGCATCCCCCGCCGTTGCCGCCACCTCCTCCGTTTGTTAATTCTGTCCCTGGTCCCCCGCCTTTTCCGCCATCTTATCCCCACCAACATTCAGCATTTGGACACACTTCCCCTCCCAGCTTCTCGGCCGGTGTCTCACCATATCCTCCTATCTCCGCGTTCATGCAACCCCAAATGCCTCCCCCACCTCCCGGGTTTTTCCCTCGTGTACAGTCTGCTTCGTCCATGCAAGATCCGCTGTCTTCCATTCCTCATCAAACGTACCAAGCACATCGTGTCAACCGCCTAACGCCCCATCCGTCACTTCCCCAAAAACCTCCGCCAGCCCCTGGTACTGTTCTCTTAGGGATTGCTGATAACAACACAACTACAGCTACGGTTTCGGCCGCGCCTCAATTACGGGACTTCAAGAAGGAGGCTACGGCGTTCGTTCCGACATCCCTGAAGCGAAAAAAGCCTGCTACTGGGATGGCATCATCTAAGGTCAACGCAGCTCCTTCTCTCGACGCAGGGTCAGAATCTTTGGAGCCAGCACAAGCTTCGCGACCGGATCTTGTGAGTTCATTGATGGATAAATTTGGACCGGTACCTGTAGTTGCAGCAGCCTCCCTGAATGAAAAAGGTTCTTCGAAGGGCATGCAGCCCAATGTTGGGAAGAAAGATGATTATCAGAAATTTGTGGAGGAGATGGGCGACATTTTAGGTACTTCGAAGCCATGAGGCATTCGCTGCTTTTATATTTTGACGTCCACTCGGAAGGAACAATAGTTTGCTCAGGTGATTTACTGTAGTCTCTTTCAATTTCTTAAAAAAATAGTATATAACTCGCAAAAACAAGGTTTATATTGAGAGGTGAGAGATAAGGATAAGAGCTACATAGAGCGTGGAGCAGAGAGTAGAAAACACGAAAACATACAAGATATTATCAAAAGACAGCTAGCTCAGAGAGTTTGAGTATTCCACATTCACGCACTTGTGACTCCTTCCAGTTTCGGTCCAACAGTCGAATGCCTCTACGAGTCAAGCGACGGTCCCATTCCATCATCTCACCCTGTATTCCAGCCTCCTGAGCACGGGAAGTCATTCCATGCCTTAGCCACTGCACGTCGCGCATACGTATAGTTTGTAGGGAAGGAAGAAAGGGGAGGAGCCTCTCCAACGTGACCCAGAAGTCACTGCTTGGTCGGGGAATTGACAAGATCTGGAGGGGAATGATACAAGGTGATGATACACCAGTCAATGGCCTTTGAAATGTAAGTGTAAGTGCTGGTAGCGGATATTCCAGAGAGAGGTGCCTGAGATGTGGGGATGTGTTGAGTATAGTACTGGGTGATGAATGATAGCGTGTAGGCCAAGACATTGGAGTGAAGAGAAAGATGTTACGAAGAGGCTGCCCGTGCGTCTCAAGAAAGACCGACGAGAGCGATGCCGGAAAGGGAATGTCATCGTACGGAGTAAGTGACAGTGTCCGTAAACGTGGTAGGGGGGAGTGCAAAAGAACATACATCAACAAAGAGGAAGGCATGGATAATAAAGTGAGGCTTCGCAGGTGCGGTAAATAGAGCGGGACAGTTATATCTGGTGTTTTGAGACTTTCGGCGTCATCGAAATGTGACTCGAGATCAGTGTCATCCAAACCAATTCCAGTGACCTCAAGTAGCTCCAGATTCACACATACCCGCAGCAACTGAACGAAATGGTCTTCACCAGTTGCCACTGCGGAATATATGAAGGGATCATAATAAATTCCGCCCAGCGCACGAATATTGGAGCTTCCATCTCTGTGTGTGAGAGACGCAAGTGCGCGACAGCTCAGCAGAAATCCAGAGTACAAAGTCAACTTCGCAAGGAACGGCAGCAGTGGGAAAAGCTGCGTCAACAGTGCGTTAACTGCATAGTATGCCGAGGAATCCAGCTCTGCGAGAAGTGCCGAAAGATCAAGCACTTGCACCCAACGCCCGGGGGTAGAGTAAGGAATTCTGCGAATAGAATCCCACATCCGGTCTGCAGAGTGAAGGTGTGCAGTAAACTTTTGCAAGGAGTTCACAGAGTGCAAGCACACGTTAGAATATAACAGTGGCATTGCAACTTCCTACCGCAAAAACATGTTAGCATAGTGAGACGGAGTGAATGAAATGGATGGAGGCAGTCATCTACAGTCATATGCGACTACACTCCGTCCCTCGCCAGCTTCCTGTACGTAAGAAGCCCTCTGAAAACTCAAGCTACTCGCCTTGAAACCCTTGCAGACTAGCATCAATGATAAACACGAACGCCGTATATTATTGTGCGCGTTGTGTGATTGGGTATTTTGATCGTCTTCGAAGAGGGCCTGCACAAAAATGCGGGACCATATTTCTGAAGGAAGAGGCTTTAGAGAAGGTCGATGAGGTAAAAGAGGGAGAAGCAGGAGGCGTCCTGGATAACGAGCAAGTGGTCTTGGGTAAAGTAGGACGGCCTCGCACATAAAGGCTGAATCAGCACTGATCAGAGACAGCTGTCTGCAAGTCTGAGCGATTTCCCGATCGGCAGTGAATATTTGAATGATATCAAGAGACACGTGACCTCGACGCGATACCAGTCGCGTTCAACCAGACCTCTCTGCTCCTGCATATTTTATAGCACACATTAATAGTGTCTCGCAGGTCGAGAATCATCCCGTCTTAAAGTTTATCCTACAAACTAACATAAACAAGCGTTATGGTCTTCCTTCTGCCAAGTGCCGTCTTCTCTGGTATCGTTTTGGTTATCCTGAAAGTAATGAGCATCTCTGCTCGCCCAGTTTCAGAGGTACGTCACATGAATCACTCGTATCATCATACCCTGTATAACCCGTGCCAACTGCGCTAGAACTCATTGAATCCCGCGAATGCGCGACGTTACTCTGAACATGTCCCCCCGATAGGCTCTGATACATTCAATCCTGGAACTCTCTCTCATCCCGCCACCGTCGCGGTCGATCCATTAGAAGCAATATTGGATGAATCGGGACTCGGGGCACTTGATGGCCATGATGAAAGTTCCAGTAATACCGACGAGGGAGAAGGGCCACTAGATGAAATTGCCCACCTGAAGCCGAGAACGTGAGTCGTTCATCTTTGCATAACTCAGGGTGCTCATCCGATTCGTTCTAGAGAGGGAGAAGTCAGCAGCTTTCAGGGAGTACGTAACCTCTCCCGGGCCTAGTAGACAGATTATAGACAATTGGAGACAGTCGTTCCTTCCATACTACGGAAATTCATGAACATCTTCCTGTCCTCGCCCGCATCGAAGCTTCCAATATTGCTGCAAGGGCAAAGACACTGATCAATACTCAAGGAAGCTGCGCACTTTGCACGGATGACTCTCAGCCCCCTCCGACATCTTGATCCGGGCCGTATACCGGGTCCCATAAGTTTGGTAATCACTTGCTCAGAGTTGCAACAGCTCCCTACTAGGCCTCGTTATCATCTCTTGAGCGTGCAATACCACATGCCTCGAGAACACTCCGACGGCACGCCGAAGCTAACCATACTTACTAAGCAGTCGTTTCGGTCTTTTCGGTGATCGAGTTGTTGACAGATTGACAAGATCGAGGTCGTGGGGAATGCTGCTCTGGAGACCAGCATCAGCCAGACCCTGCATACGAATAGTGATGCCGGTCGATACCGCGATGACACGTTGAGCACACGTCACTCGGTCAAAAGGGTTAGTCTCAGATTGTGGATAAGCCGCAGGTGTGCTGATAAGTCTGAGGTGTTTTGACTGGTTGGCAGAGCCATAACTCTGCATGGCCCGGCCGTTGGCACCTCAACGCCGCCAACTAAATTTGGACTGAAAATAACCATATGAGATATGATGATACACGGCAGCCATTAGTCCTCCTTAGAATAGATATGCCGCGCACGCGAGATCACACACCTCCAAAGACCCTCGAATTTACTGTGGAGTAAGACGTAATCTGGTGAGAATCCAGCTGAGGACCCTGCAATTTTTCACATGGTGGAACAGTACACTCTATAATGGGAGACACGAAGGAGACAAAAACAGATTTTGACCAAGGAAAAACGTCACCAGCGTGTTACGTAGTTCGAAGATAGGTGAGAAAGAAAGTGAACGAATTTTGAAGAATTTGAAAAGGGCAACCTCAGCCAGGAATACACAGGCATCTAGAGATGCAGTCCTCTGTAGCTGACAAAGCATGAGTAAAATTGTACATCAATCCGTTGACTGGCACTTACAATCAGGCGCTTAATGATTGATTGCAAGAATGCGTGCCCCCAGTGGCATGTTCAATCGAGCAGCCTTTGGAAAGCATGGTTTGCTCAAATGCCACGAAGCGAGGATCATGAAGCAATTCTCCCCAATCGCCATAAAGAATTATGTGGCGCAGCGCTGGAAAGGATGATCTGGAGAGGAAGGCAAGGTGTAGCCTGATGCGCTCTTGAGCTTCAGTGATCATGTCTGTAACCATGCCACATGGGAATGCGTGCAAAGATATGCATTGAAGCGCGCATTGTTGTTCGAAAATAGGTGGTGGTGATGTGAAGTTAAAAAAGTAATTGAATGTCTTGACTTGAGGACAGCCACGGAGGAAGCGGGTGATCTGATCACTAAGCAAGAAACCGACATGCCTTGCGAATTCAACCGTGCAGAGGCGAGCGCCAAACACCTGCCATATGGTGTCGAGTGCGTTTTGTTCTAGTGGGAAATCCACAACGATATGGACAAGTGAAGGTAACCGCCACTGGCAGATCTGGTGGACGAAGATAGGATTGATGCGTCGCAAACGAAGTGTCTTCAATGCGGGGAGCTCCAGCACATTACCAGTTTGGGCGGAAGTCCACATCTCCCCTCCTACAATGAGATACTGGAGATTGGGGGAATGGCGCAGAACGTTTATAAGCGAGTTTATTCCCCCAGAACGAGTGGCATCGTTGTAGTGCCACCACTCGAGCCTCTTGAGATTCAAGAAGGAGTGGCTGCGAATTGGGAATTCATAGCGTACTGCGTCTGGAGGTCCCTGCATGAAGGGCCTCACCAAGGTTTCTATTTCCGGACAATGTTGCAGAATTTGCAGTGCGAGATCCGAGCTAGTGTTGGTTATAGTACCAGTGTGAGGGTAAGGAAGTTCAAGGCGGCGGACACATCTTCCGAGCTGTTCACCCCTGTATGTCTTCCCCAATGCCTCCACGAGGGACTGTACCCCACGTCCGACCTTGACATCCTCATATAGAATGCTGAGGGCGAGGTCTCGCCAAAGCTTACACACTTGAACCACTGCGCACTTGAGAGCCTTAGCATCCGCCTCTCCCTTATTGTCATGATCAAGAGATCCAAGGAATGGCTCGAAGTTTGGCACGTCAAGACGCGGCGGTGCATAGGTCGCCCAGCGAATGATATTCAACCACAGCTCCGGAGGAAGCAATTGGTGGTCATGTGTGGACATCCCGGGTTGATGGTTCAAAGATAAGGGAGAGGACGGCTCCGATTTCGCCTGCGCTTCTTTGCTGACTGTGCAGCGCTTATCAACACCCTGGGCGCCTGTGCCTGCTACGTCCACCTCCTGTTCATCCGAGTCAACGCCTAGATCTCCATCTTTGTCCTCGACTTCACGCCTCTTTTCGACTTGTTGCAGACGATCTTGTAAATCGCCACATTTCTTCTTCAAAGCCTCGTTTGCGTTTTTCAAAACCTCATTCTCGACACTCAGTACCTGGATCGATTTCTCCGCTCTTGTGAGCTGGGCGACATTTTTATTCTCGGTTGCGGTTGCCTGCTTTCTCGGTCGTAAGAAGTTCGCCAGACGATTGACTGGTCCTGTTGCCGTGTGAGCGCTCATTACTGAAGGGAAGAATGAGCCACTAGTGGTCGCTGCGCAACTGAGACAAGTTCCTTTTAGAGACCTCTATGGAGATTCTCCCGGTAGACTCCGCTGAGATCGATAACGCTGGCAGATTCAAATTCTAGGTAGTAATCCAGATGACGTCAGGATTGATTATTGTTATCAACTGAGACGTAGGCTATCTTATATCATCGATTGTGATAACATATACATCGCTAGGACAGAGCAAAACATTGGTCGGAATGTGGTATCGTTGAGACAGTGAAACTAGCAAATAAAAAAAAACACAAGGGTTGTGGAGCAAGGAAGTGGATAATATAGCTCGAACCGCCTAATATCAACACACTTTCAGTGCTATTACAAAGAACGTAACGCTCGTATCACGCACGCATCATGACCATCGTCGTCAGGTGTAGCATAAAGAGGTAAAAACCAAAATTCCCAACTCAGTCCATTAAATAACCTGAAGGTAATTCGACGGTGCAACTGCGACGCAAGGATTAGGGTCAAGGGACTAGCGAGCAGGGCAAGATAAAAATACGCACTTCCTAATGTACCATCCGCTTTCTTTGCTTGCCACCACTTGCCTTGCTTGTCGATGATATCAAGAACCTCACCCTTAGTGAATGAGATTTCGTTTGGATCATCTGGAGAGGCTGTGTCTGTGCAAGTGATAAGCAAAAGAAGATAAGTGAAAGACCTTTTGGCTTACAAGCATACAATGCTTTTGCTTTGTAGACGTATGCCTCTGGCCCGCTTGGGTTGGCTTCAGGCATATTTGGGCTACCACCAGTACCACCACCTGCGCCTACACCCGCTGCACCAGGGCCTATCAATGGCGAGCCTGGACCCATACTGTTATCAGGGCCACTTAGGGAAACCGGAGCAGGATTTGGTGTGCTGTGAACACTGCCTACTCCAGCTGCGGGACCAAGGCTGCGGGATGCACCGTCCACACTAGCACCACCGACAAAACTATTTTGACTACGAACTCCGGGACCTGCGCCAATACCGCCTGTTTTGTTGGCGCTGTCGTAGGGCATATCATGTGAACCGACACCGCCGCCAGGAGAGTAGTTGGCTGTATAGCCATTGGCGCCAATATTGCTCGCACCCCGAGTCCTACGACGGCGGGATGGTGGTGTCAGGCCACCGGTGCCCATAGAGTTGAAGAGGTGGAATGCGAGAGAATCTTCTTCTGATGTGAAATAGATCACCCAAAGGATGTCCACGATTGCAATAATGAGCCATCCCGCAGCCATAGCGTCCAGTGCAGCCAATCCAGTAAAAATACTGTTGCTGACGGTGATGACAGCCATAACGATTGCGATGGCACCAAAAACTGATATTTGGAAGCGATGCATGGCTATTGAATCGCTTGCTAGGGTGTGCAATACGCCAAGGGTTAGGAATAGTTGGAGGAATATCCCAAACCACCCAACGCCAACGGATTGTTCATTGTCTAGAGGAAATAAATTAGTGAGTGGAGCCATGCAGAGCAAGGTACTGTACTAACATTGAGCAGTTACGATACATTGCGAGATAAATGCGATGAACCATGCCAACTATGTTATGACGCGCTCAGTATGAAAATTGAAAAATAGAAGAGTTTAATACGTACCACCGCAAGAATTGTCGTAAACAAGAAAAGATAATGTGTTAAGATTGGGGTGAAATCTAATCCTTCGCTGCCACGGGGAGGCATAATTTGTTTGTCGAGGTCGGAGTGAATTTTGGTAAGAAGATGAGTACCAGAAGTGACTTGAACGAAGAGCTTTGACGTTCATAGGACAAGACCAACTACGAAACCAACACGTGCCAAAATATTCCCACGCGACCATGGCAGTGCAAAATGTTAACCAACCCTAGATAAACCTGTAACGGGAAAAATTAGTGAAGTTTCGGGGTGTTTTATACCAAGGGACCTTTCCGGCGGACGACGCTAGCGTTCCGTTGGCGTTTTGTTGGCGTTTTGTCATTTGTTTTATGCTCATACTCCCGCCATCCCGAGCCCTGTAGTGACGTCTCCGTGAAGCCGGTAAATCAGTCACGGTATGGTCAGCAGCTTTAGTCGAATCCCTAGATCAGCCACCACGGATCGGTTACATATCCATTGGTATATATATATTTGACTTTCAGGATTATATTTCCAAGTCACATCCCCGAGCAGTGTCCAGGATGTTGCTATAACCTTCAATGAATTTCCGGAAAACCATTCTGAGGACAGTCAGCGTGGTGCTGTCCAGTTTCGGGATTCTCCTGGTGCGTGGCAGCTGTTCCGAGGTCGGTCACCACCGTGCTTACTCATGTTCACCGGACATCAGAGTGTGCTAGCTATCTTCATTCAAACACTACTCCCATCACATTGGCAATGGGCTTGGTCGAAACCACCCCCATACGCCGGTGGAAAATCACGAAGGACAATAATAGCTCGTCGCGTCAAGCGACCCGTTCCCAGGCCAGTTGCTTCGCCGACTTCATCTTTTCTACGATCGACCAGGTCACATGAAACCATACGCAGCAGCATGGTTGATAGGGCGGTACCACAAAGCCATGCGCATGTAGATTTACCAGCCTCCCTGATGCCTGCAACGAAATTGCCCATTCAACGATCTAGTCACGGTGAAGTCTCGAAAGCCCACAGAATTTTCAAGAGACATACCCTTCCAGCCTCCCTGTTTGTTAATTCGTGTCGGACAATAGCTTCGCTAAAGCAAAGATCGACGCACCTCAAAGGCAGAAATTCTACGGGGTCATTTTGTAAGTCGGGTTTATTCCACCGGTCTTAAAATTAAATCAACGGTGTTCGCTTCCGAAGCTAGTTCTGTGAAAATCCCAGACCCACCATTACGGACACAGCCTTACGCAGCGCCATACTTTTTTCCAGTACCTGGGACACTGGAAGCCATTGATTATGTGGCGAAGACGCGAGAAGAGCTTCTGCGGCCTTCTGAATTCATGCAAGCCAACACGAGGAATAAGAGAACCTAAGGATGTATGTAGTTGATAATAAAAGTCTTGATAAGATAAGATAATGAATTGAATAATTTGGTCGTTCCGGAGATTCCCACGTGCAGTATTGAGTTTACCTTCGGTCACCGTGTGCCGTACTGCAGACTTACTGTGAAGGGCAACAACAGTGATGGACACCCAAACACCCTTCATCACACCTAATTCGAGACCACAATCTCCGTCACAGAACTTCAATCAAACCGTCCCTCTTCTTCCCATACCACCACCACCACATTCTTCCTACCTTTCACCAAAGCTTACCATCCCTTCTCCATCCCTCCAAGTCGATCCCGACGACCTCACCCCACTTCCAACCTCCAAAACGCCCAGAGATATTTCATTGGAACCTCTCTCCAGTACTGCACAACTTCTAATTTCATCAAACATGGGTTTCCGCACTCCAAAATCTGGAACACCGCGTCCTCGCACCGCTGGTGAAAGTGACGGCACATCCCATGGTTCCGCAGCGCAGAGGTCTCCAGACAGACCACTAAACGTTACCGATGCGCTCAGCTACCTCGATGCGGTCAAAGTTCAATTTCAGGACAAACCAGACGTATACAACCACTTTTTAGACATCATGAAGGACTTCAAGAGCGAAGCGTGAGTCAATTTAGATACTAGTGACGTAGACGTGGATGTGTGACTCGGGAGGCGGAAAATGTTTTATGATGTCCGGTTATCTTACCGCCTAAGGGCATGGACTACACCGGCGTACGCGCCTTTCCTGTTGTGGTTGTCGTTGGAGAAGCATCCTTTTATATTGTCTACTCTTCTGCCTTTCAGCCTCGTGTTGCTAATGATCTTCTCTTGCACAGAATCGACACACCTGGAGTGATCGAGCGCGTGTCAATGTTATTCCATGGCAATCCAAATCTTATTCAGGGATTCAACACATTTCTTCCCCCTGGCTACAGAATAGAGATGTCCGCAGACCCGCACGACCCTAATATTATCACCGTTACAACGCCGTTAGGGACCACCACTCAAAGCACAAGCACCTTCGAGCAGATCTCCCGCGTCACTCGTGACCCCGCTACAACCAAGTCTTCGCTTCCTCTTCCATCAACCGCCGGCCCTGCGTTTCCCTTCCAGCCAATGACCCGTTCGATGACACCATCGATAGCTCCTTATCAGGTTCCGCACATGCCACAGTCTATGGATACGTACGCCTCAGGCCTTCAAGTACCCTCCACAACTGCTGCGGCTTCCTTTCTCGGTAATTTGTCCAACCGAAACGCAGTAGAAAACAAATCTTCAGGGGAATTCAACCATGCAATACAGTACCTAAACAAAATCAAGGCACACTATTCTGACGATCCCGATACATACAAGCAGTTCCTAGAAATCTTGCAAACATATCAGAAGGAGCAGCGTCAAATCCAAGATGTATGTGCCATGTGCGTTAGCTCTGATGTGTATTGATGCTTGAGCATAGTCACAAGTATACGTGCAAGTGCAGGTCTTGTTCAAGGATGCTCAAGAACTACTTAGTGAATTCAAGGATTTTTTGCCCGATATGTCGATGGCCTTGAGCGGGGCTGTCAGCATTCTTCCCCAGCCAACTAGTGGTCCAGGTGTGCCAACACCTTGGGTAGATGCAGGGGACAAGAACGGAAAGAAGACGCAGCTTCCGCCTAAAAAAAGGAGAAAAGCTCCAGAGAAAGAGACCACGCCTGCGCCGGCTGTGCGGACTGTCCCAAGTCGAGTGTGTGCTTCGCTAACTCTACGTCATTCGTTAATAACATTCTCCCTGTGTAGGCCAAGAAGCCCAAGCACATGCACAAAGGGGCCGACCCTGACTCTCCGCAGTTCAATTCATACGGGTTACCGGAATCACCGCCCCATCATCCCTCGCAATTGCATGCTAGTATGCTACCGCCACCCCAAATGCATAATCTAGTGATACAAGGCCCCCAGCCAGTTACCAACGTTCAGTCAGCACCCGATGAACTCATCTTTTTTGAGCGCGCGAAGCGCACGTTGGAGAGCAAGGATACATATGAGGAGTTTCTCAAGCTCTTGAACATGTACTCCAAGGACATTATTGATGCGAAGACACTTGTGAACATGGCTCAAGTGTATTTGGGCGATGGTGATCTACTCTCGCAGTTTCGGGAAGTAGTCGGGATCGATGAACGGCAGGACAGTATCGAACATGGTCCGCCTGGGAGCATCCGTACCGGGCCGCCAGAAGCCTTGTCTGCATTACCAGCTGAGGATGGTGAGGGTCCAAGCTATCGTCGATTACCCGAGAGCGTACGTATCGAATAGCTGTTTTTCTAGCCAACTGACTGAAGCGCCATTGTTTGCAGGAAGTTCATCTGGCATGTTCCGGTCGCGACGAACTCTGTCGCTCTGTACTTAATGATGAATGGGTTTCACATCCGACATGGGCGTCTGAAGAAGCAGGCTTTATCGCGCACAAGAAGAACTCGTTTGAAGAAGCACTGCACAAGAGCGAAGAAGAACGACACGAATATCACGTTCAGCTTGAAGCCCTTGCACGCACGATCGCTGTCATAGAGCCCATCAACTTTCGCATCGAAGAAATGACCAATGATGAACGCTCGAATTTCCGACTCAAGCCTGACTTTGGTGGCTTGAGCAAGAACATATACCACCGGACGTTGAAGAAAGTCTACGGCAGAGATGCTGGAATCGAGGTTATCCAAGCTCTTCAGGAGTGTCCTAGCGTCGCTGTGCCGGTGGTCCTCGCTCGGCTAAAGCAGAAAGATGAAGAATGGCGACGCGTGCAACGAGAATGGAACAAAACGTGGCGAGAGGTTGACGCCAAAAATTTCTATAAATCCCTCGATCATCAAGGGGTCACGTTCAAGTCGAATGATAAGAAGGTCGTCACTGCCAAACATTTTGTAGGAAATATTGAGTCAGTCAAAGCTGAGCAAGCAGATGCGCGCACGCAGCAGGCTCCACCCTCATTCGGTACTGCTGTGCCAGGCTACCAACTGGAGTTTTCTTTCAAGGACATGACTGTCCTTCAAGACTCGCTTAAGTTGGTTTACTCATTCCTGGATCATTCCCACGCGCACTATACACTACAGGAACGGCGTGGAGTCGAGGGTTGGCTGCGATCATTCATTCCCCTCTTATGTATGTGCCCTGCTACCGAGTTCAATGCTGGATTTACGCCTTTGGATGATCCACGAGACGAGGAGACCGACCAACAAGCTTTAGATGGCGCGCGGAATGATAACGGAGTCCCGTTTACGAGTGGGCGTGGCCTTTCGGGGAGCGTAATGGCGGCCGGTGACCTTCGGAAGCGTTTACTGAAATCCTTTCAAGAAAATTCTATTGGATCTGAGGGCCAGGATACATTTTCGTTATCCCAGTCAAGAGGGACCACGCCCCATTCTGAGCGTGTATTATTTGATGCCACCCTGGAGGACAACACAAGCATAGGGTTGACTCCAGCCCAAAATAAATCCCCGGATCAGTGGATCCGTGATGCGTCAGCCAATCAAACCCCTCCTGTTTCAGGAGACGGCACCTCTAGGCGGAAACCTTTTTTCGGGAACACAACGTTCTACACAGTGTTCTGTTTGTTACAGGTCAGGTCCCACAGTGCATACGCGTGATGTGAGCTAATTTTATTGCACACAGTTAATCTATTCTCGTCTGCTCGTATGTAAGGAACAGGGCGCTCGTCAGACTGCAAAAGGTCTAAATCCTGCGGACTGCAATCCTATCGCCATTGAGTTAGGGCTGGATGATCCGAATGGACCCTCTGCTATACTCGTACAGGCTATGGAGGCTGTGTCCAACCGTCAGGCCTGTGACGCGACTGATGTTGTATACCTTTACATGTTGGAGGCATTTGAAAAGCTATTTGATAATGAGCTTGATCAGGCGACGTTTGAGGAACATATGCGATGGTTTTTCGGCAACAAGGTAAGTCGTGCGTTCATCTCCGGAGCCACTACTTGACCCGGCGCATGCTCCAGGCATATTACCTTTTCACGTTAGACAAGATACTGTCTTCATTGATTAAGCAGGTAACTATAACGCTGTGCTGTTAGGCTTCGTGACTGCGCTTTCAAGTTTAGCTTAATGGGGTTTTCCTTTCACAGGTGCAGATTCTGTTGTCGGATAACAAGTGTCAGGAGCTTTGGGTGCTACTTCAACAAACGCGGAAGGTGGATGCCCTTTCCAATCAGAACATGATTCGCTATCGACGTGAGGCGGAACGTCACGTTGGTACCGACGAGCATTTGTACAGGTTCGATTGGGTATGTGAGAGACTTAATTTTGGGATTATTTGTGACCCTGACATGAAGTAATTCCAGCATCGGTCTTCGAAAACAATGTTCGTTCAACTGGTCGAACCGGATGATCCTAGTGTGAATGGAGATGGAACGGCGATTAGTCGGTGGCGAGAATATCTCGACTCGTACGTTCTACGGCAGCCGACGGAGTGGTTGTCACAATCAAAGCGTGAAAGCAAGGTATTTTTGCGAAGGTTAGTGAAAGGGACGATCGACTTATGTAAATGTGATTTGTGATGCTGAATGTTGTACAAATAGGCACATGACGATCGACGAATCACCGCGAGGCACATCAAGTTGGGATTCTATGAGCATCCGGGTGAGCCTAGGCACGTACAAGATGTTCTATGAATCGAGCGCTGAAGATTTGTACGTGCGACCGAGAAGCAGAGATGAGGAGAAGGAGCTTAGGGAAAGAGCAAAAGTTCAAGAGGAAGAACGGAAACGAAGCCGATGGTTAGGAAATGTTAATGTTGAGCTTAAATAACCGATATAGAAATAGCAATGTTATTTTTGGTATGTGATTTATATTATAGACATGTAAGAAAAGAATTCCCTATCGAGCAACCGAGTACTGAACTACTATTAGTTATTTATTTATTTATTACTTAAGCTGGATATGGTGCCCACGAGTTAGTCCCCGCTTTTCCCCTCAGCCAACCTGCCTAGTCTGTTGTAGATTTATTCTCCCTCAAAAGTTTGAGCCTTGTTCAGAGGTTTTGATCCTCTTTTTTTTTTTTGCGTAGACTATACTCATTTTTATAGTCAAAT